GTAAGTTATTTTAATTATTGTTTATATATATATATATATATATATATATATATATGTGTGTGTGTGTGTTTATGCTGTTTTTTAATATTATACAAAGATCTTAGTTTATTTTTAGGATAGGACTGGTGTTTGCTGTGAATTCCAATGCATCAGTTGATGGTTACAGTGACCCAGGGGTAGCATTGCTGAATTCATACAATTTCATTGCCCAGGACAAAACAGCATATGAAGGGCTGTCTTTCATCACTGATGTATGTTTTTCTACCTTGTTCACCTTCTTAGTTTACTTTTCTATTTGTGTATATATTTTTTTGCTTTTTTTAACTTTGTTTTCCCTTTTACTTAATTATATGATTCATTATTATATTATCAACTTTAGAAATACTTATTTTTATTTTTTTTACCTGACCCTTATTTTATATTTTATATGTGATAAAATGTTTGTTATTGAAGGTAGTGTATTGTGATAGAATCTTGTCTTTACTTAAATTTAGTTTTAATCCAAATTAACATTTTATTCATTGCAGTCAATATGTTTATAATAGCTAACATAAAAATCTTTGTTTTTTACTTTCCTGTGGTTAACATACCCATTCTGTGAATTCAAGGATTTATGTTTTGGAGCCATTGGTTTGCTCTGAGAGTGGCTATCAAATTCACTATTTAATCAGATGAGAATAACCCTAGAGTTGGTAGTGGGTACTGTTGACTAAGCTGCTTTCCCTCTAATTTCAATCCAAAATTAGGGATAGCCATGGGCATATAGCTTTGATGTAGCTTTGCACAAAATTCTGATCACATATTTCTCTTTCAAAGATGGTTATTAAAATTATTTTAGGTATAACTGTGTATGTGTTTAACAGTAATAAATTGGAAAGTTGTATATGTAAAGTGTAGATTTTAAGTATTTAAGAAGAACTGAAAGCTTAAAACTTGAATGATATTATCTATTGATAGATTAATGTAAATGTAGGATTGAAAATGCACACAAAACTTTAATACAAAAAAAAGTGTTTTGTATGATTGGATAACTTATGCGTGATCATGAAAAAGTTTGATCATTGTCTTGATACCACGTTGAAAATATATGTTCCATTAATGTAAGGATTTGCAGTTTTTTAGACACATATTTTAAAATACCAAATCAGCTTTTGTTTTAAATGCAGGATTTTTTTACAGAGAAACATTGTCCATATATACATATGTATATATATATATATATATATTGTGTGTGTATTATAAAATAATACTTTTTGTAAAAAATTCAAACTATTGCAAGCAAATTATCTTGTCATACTTATTTTGATTATGAAAATGCTGGCAAAAAGTCTTTAGTATACTTGCATTTTTTATTAAGGTTTACATGGGTCAAGAAAAATCTTGGAAAGTCATGGAATATTGTAAATGAGTTTTTCAGTACTGGAAATCATGGAAAATTTATGGTTTTTAAGAGGAGGTTATGCAAAAGTCCTTGAAAGTCTAACCCCATTGCTGTCACATCACCTGTTTTATTGACAACAAGCTGTCTTTGCCATTGTATTTGTCTCATTTTCACAAAAAATTATCACTAGAAAATGGGAAATATGTTTACTTGAGAGCACTAATCAGTGACATGTTTTGAACTATGTAATTCTGTTTGCAAGCCAGCATATGTCATGTCACTGCTGTTGGAATGAAATTGTTAATCCAAAATCATAAAATTATTCATTGGATAAAGAACATGGGCATTTTAGTTTTCCTAATTCCATCGTCAAATTTAAATTTGTCACAAGCTATTATTCAAACTTCATTAATAAAAAAAAAGAGGAGAGAGAAATACAAATCGAACTGTGAGCAACATAATAGAATGAGTGTTATAAGCCTAACTGCCATGCATGAAATAGTCAAATATTTCCCATTAAAGTTAAACCATCAGCTTATACTTAATTAGGTCACGTATTGTTTATATAATGATTGCTCTAGTCTGGGATATTTTGAATGACATTTTGGGCCCCATTACTAAACATTTCAGAGGCAGTCTTCTGATTTTAAGGGACAATCAGAACTGTAACTGCATTATTATGATGCATGTTATTAATATTATATCTTTAATATTTTTTCTCTGTTAGGTCTAAAATGAATAATATTCTTAACGAAACTGATTCATGATTTTACTTCTAATCATCACATCCTGTGATGATTGATACATATGTCAGCACCCTTGACAAAAAATATTATTATTGAGAACAATTATTGGTTTAAGTATTGTTTAAACATGGGTATATGTTATTGTACAAGAAAATGTACAGGCTGAATGCCATCATAAAATATAAATGTTTTATTAATTCACAAGGTTTCTAGTTCTTTGTTAAATGGAATTGTAGTAGTAAATTGAGAAAATGTTTGAAAGTAATACAATACAATTGTAAAATCACATGATATAAATCATTATTAATGTGCACAACAATATAAGAGTGGTCTTGGTTGTAATACGGGTGTGAATCTTTGCTTGATTGGCATGATGACATGTGATGATCGGTGTTCCCTCTGAGCTGCGTGGCCACACGACAACCGATCAAATGCCACGCAATTAATTATTCTAGCTATGCACATCCTCGGTGATGGTGAGGAGTCTCAACACTTTAATGGCCTTAATGCCCTTGCAATCGATAGGCCTAAAGCCCAAATAACTAACTGGTAGCATTGCAAAGTGGCCTATTGATTCAATAGGATTGATGGTCTAAAGACCCCCCCCCCAAAAAAAACAAAAAAAAAACTGGTAGTGCACATCCATACGTTGCCTTGATACTGGTGCACATGAAAAAAATTCATTCTGCAGATGGGTGGAAAAAATAGAGGGAACATTGGTTGTGATGTATGTTCAGCAGCTAATTAGGTATAGGTTGACTTGTCCTATTGGCACGTTGAAACAATATGCTCATTAAATATTAATTGGTTATGTGTTAGAGGAGTTAGCTTTTGCTACAGCATAATGTTTGGGAGAAAGATGCAAGGCTTTACCCTTTGTTATTAAACTGAAGTTGTAAAAATTTTAAGTGTAATTAGAGGACTGAAATGATTTCGTTACTGTTTTGTTCAGTAATTTGTGGTCTTTTAGAGTTTCTTTTAAATGGCTTGTTTCATAGTTGTATATTTTTCTTTTTTGTTTGATTAAAGTGTTTTCTTTGATAGATCTGGTGTGGGTGTTGTTTCAAGTATGATTTGTACAGCTGATAGTGAATTTTTGTAAATAAAATATATTACATTAGTTATATAATTTTAATAGCATTCACATTTTGTTAAAATAAGTAAATTAGTTCCTTGAAAATAAAAAATTTGTCCTAAAAAGTCATGTTTTTTGTTATTTTTTTTTTCCATTGACTTGTACAAACCATAGTTTCTGTTTTACCTGAAATGATTTACTTGCTTTTTTTTAATTGCATAAATTATTTTGTAGGTTTATGTTGCTATGGGAGACAAAGATATAACTGTAGAAGATGTCACAAGTTTGTTCAAGTCACGATATCCATCTGAAGACATGGACATAGTTTTTGGAATAGATTCTGACTATGATACTGGAAGAAAGGTATTTTGGTGGAGACTTCTTTCATTCTATAATACAAAAATAGTTCAAATCAAAAATTCAAATCAAGTTAACAAAATCAAGTTCAAATTAATCCAACAAAATAGAATGACAATATTTTATTTGATAACTAAATGCTTTAAGAAAAGTGGAGAAGTAAACTTTTAATAAGTTAATTTCATTTTCAAAATCTAAAAGTTTGACTAAACCTAGGTCAAAGCTTATAAGGCTGGAATCACATAATATTAATCTAAAATATGTGCTTATATATTTGATGGTGATGCAAAAGTGTTTTATTTACAGTTGATGAATCTAAATAGTATTTTGTAACCTTTAAAAAACTGGAGCTAACTAAAAATATTTTAAAGTATGTATATATTAGTACTAAATTTAGTTTTAGTTGTATTAACTTTTCCTTAATTTTGTAATCTTAAATCATAATGACTATTTTTTCTGCACCTGAAGAAAAACAGTATTTGAAGCTTTCATATTTGTTGGCTGATAGAATTCCAAATTGTGCAACAAGTTCAATATAATTTCATCATAAAGCCAAACAGTTTATTTCTACCTCATACTTTCAGTTGTAAAATAAACTATTTAAAATATATCAAAGTTCTCTACAATGGTCAAACCAAGAAGAAAGACACAGTAATTCAGATGAGAAAAGTATACATTTATTTGTTTTTGAGTTATTCCAGTATTATTAAGGTTTTTATTTTAATTATTATTATTAATACATTTTTTCTTGTTATACTTTTAAGTAAGTAACATTTTTTCTCGTTAAAAAATTAATTCCAAAACACATGAGGTTCTTTTGTTAACTCAATAAACATAGTTAAAATATTGTATTATAATGTTAATACCCTTATATTACAGACATGATCCCAGCATTTTATAAAATTTTCAATATTTTAGACAAAAATATAGAAAGTTATTTTTCAAGTAAATATAATATACAGAACAACATTAAAATATAGTTTCTCAGTGCATAGCTCAATTTAGCTGTTACAGAATTAATGGCCAAGAAATCGAATTTCAATGTCAAGGTATAAAAAAACAAAAGTGTACGTGTATATGTATAAGGTGGGGCAAATGTTACTGTACATTTAGTAATATATGGCTGATACAGTTAGGCCTACAAAAAAAATGCTTTGTTTCCTATTATATGCTGAAAAATATAGAGTGGGTAGGTAGGCAGAGAATAAGGCTGATTGGATTTTATTAATGTATCCTTTGCTGTATTGGTACTTTCAAGTTCAGCAGGGCATTTTGGTTTAGACCTACAGTGAAATTCAATTGATTTGACACCGAACGTGTGTACTAATTGGTCTATCCCATGTCAACATGTGTTGATGTTCGCTTATAATCATTCGAATCTAGTTTAGGATGGTATAACTTCAATATGTCTTTGTCTGTTCCAATAAACTGTGACACTGTCTTTGTTTAGGGAAACATGGGCAATATTCTAGTTACCATGATGACATGTTTGACATTGCCTGAATAGAAACTCAGCTATAATTGGCTGAGAACACTGACACATCAACTAACGTGGTTTCTTATTACCTTCACCTTGTATAATAAGGTACCGGGTTGAGGCAGTAATTTGCTGCAAATAAAAAATAATAATTGAAGGGCGTATTTCATTTGGGTCGGTCAGGAGATGAATTTTTTGGGGGGAGAAGCATTGAAAAGTCTTTATGGTTGGGCATTTTTATGTAGGGTCAGTTGGGTAACTGGAAACAAATCTTTTTTTTTTTTTCTAGGCCTTACTATTGAAGAAAATATTGAAACATTTGAAACTAATTTTCTTATTGTTTGTTTCAGTTAGAAATTAAGCTGTTCTAACTGAATCAACATTATAGTCAATTTTGCCTCAATCTGTATATGTATAAGGCTACTTTGCTCTTACATGCAGACTTATTCTACAACAAATTCTTATGTAAAGATTATGACACAGTTAATGATTTTAATTTCATCTACCCAAAACTTTATGATGAATTTGAGCATTCTTTAAATAGGATTGCTTTTAGTCTTAAAAGAATGTAGGCATAGTTACAACTATAAACTGTAGTACCACAATTTTTGACTTGTTATATGTACCTTCTAGCATAGGCATAATTATGACTAAGCAGTTGTTCCACTATTTTTAATTTAATATGTGTATTTTCTAACATGAGCATAATATGTGAAATGATGTTGTCATGCACTATTTACACAAATTGTTCAGTCAGAAGCTATTTCTTCTTTATACATGTAGTTTAGAACTTAACATTATTCAGTGTGTGATATGTACTGGATTTGATGACTTATGATGTTTAAAACAGCTATCAGATTCAACAGATTCCATTATCTTGAGTTTTAATAGGCATAATGCTTTCTACACATGTGATCTTCTGGAATAACTAAAAAAATATCAGGTATTAACATTGTATTGTTGATTAGTCACCAATTACTTAGAAGAGTTATTATCAATAAGGATATAAAAAACTGCTAAAGTAATCTAGAAATTTGTTTTAATAAATCCTATAGTGCTTCAACTCTAATGTTTTATGACATAACCAGAAATAACACAATCCACATCTAAGTAAAATGTCATACCTCATTCCATGATTTGAAAAAACACTCTCTCAAAAAGAAAAATAATTTACTTTTTTTTTACTAATGTGCAAGGCATTAAGGTTCAACTTTAATAACAAACGGCCTTTGTTGAGTTCTTACTGTGTTTAATTTGCGTGTCTAAAGTGGTGAAACAAATGTCAGTATTTACTGCTTTTATTGTAAAAATCTAAAGAGTTCTAAAACTTATTTCATTATTTTATGTCACAAATGACAGAAGTATACTAATTCAGGTAAATAAATATTAAGCATACCTTAGGTTGTTTAATTTTTGAGACAAAACTAGTAAGACAAGCAAAGTTTATATTGTATGCCAACTCATTTGACATGTCATCAATGTTTTTTACAGAACTCCAAAAAAAGAATTTCAAACACAATTAATAAGTAATTAGCATTTTGCATTTCCTCTGTTGGGAAGAACTACAGAATTAATTATTAATTTGTTTCTGTAATATTTCTATGATTATTATTTTTTCAGCTTGCTTGGGATTTTATTGAAAGAACAGGAATTGGTTCTCCTCCTCAAGTTTTAATCAATGGAATACCGCTGAAAAATAAATATGTAAGAAGCTCTTTACTGATTAAAATTAAGAAAACATAATTTATAATGTGTGTGACAACCTTTTAAAATTGTTAAGCAGATGAAAGTAAATTAGGTATAAATATTCTGAAAAGAAAATATTTAGGTCAGAGTAGTTAAATGTTTTCCTTTAAATAATTTAGAAGTATTTATTTTTTTCATTTATTTTACTTATTATGACACTATTTTAACGTGGCAACTCGGTTCTAAGTAAAAACTAGTTAATAAATACTACCAAATGTGTTAAGTTTTAAAGCTATACCTTTAATAACATGAACTATCACATTTCAAACAGGACAGATTGTTGTCATAATTTTCCCACTTGCCCTTGTATCTTTTGCCCTGTTGATTGGACACACAAAACAACTGTTTGTACTTTTAGTGTTGTTCACAGGTAGATTATTAGGTTTTTGAGCTTAACAAAATACATGTGCAGGAAATATCTTTAAAAAAAATGTAACAATTTGCATAGATAGTGTTCAATTTTGTAACTTCAAGTAGCATTGTGTAGATAAAAAAACTGGTACACTTCTACTTAACATCACCAATTTATTCATCAGCAAGTTTTCAATCTTTGGGAAGTGTATGCAAACTAAGTCAGAAATAATGATGCTACTGCAATACATTTAAAATCACTTCACCTTTGTAAACAAGTAATAATAGGCTACCAAAGTGAAAAGTACATCATTTGTGTATGCATATTACTACCATGGTTGATATTTTGTTAGATATTGGAAATCAATTGCTAAAAATTAATAGAGAAAACATTATTTTCATATATTCTTCTTGTATAAACATACAATTTCCTGGCTTCAGTTGTCACTTTAACCTCTAATAATTCATGGAATGGTTTTCTCCATTACCATAGTAATGTTTCGACCACAACAATTAAATGGTGTGTGAGATATTTGGCTTATATGTATATACGAGTAGAGATGATGTTTAGTATGTATGTATATATATATATATATATATATATATATATATACACACACACACACACACACACACAC